TCTTTCTTTCCAGATATACCATTTCCATTCCTCTAACCCCCCGTTCCCATCTCGTGTCGCCGAGATAGAAACATCGAGAGAGAAAAAATATTCCGGCGCGCTTCCGTCGCAGCGATTCCATTGTCTTTTCCGTTTTCTATCGCGATGCACGGGAGTCAGCCAGCCAGCCAGCCACCCAGCCAGGCGTAGTGCGGCTTTTAGAATCAAGAATTCGCCGTGGTCTTTCACGCTCTTGCCTCTTGTTCTTCCTTCTCTTCAAGCAAACGCAGCCAGGATTTTTACTTCTATCCGCCCTCCCTCGCGTATCGTTCTTAACGAGATGGATGGATTCGATTGGGGCGCGGACGTTTCGAATACGCATCGAATAATTATTTTCTGATCGAGTTGATTCGATTTCGTTCTCTTGTTTCATTGTTATTGTTATTGTTATTCATTTGTTAATTAATATACTTGCGTGGACGATTATTAACCGAGCATTTGCAATTATGGATGCTGATGATTCAATGTTACTTAATTTTGATAATCGAAATAGGAATCTTTTTTTTTTTAATTAATTTATTTAGAAATATGCACAGTAAATAGGATCTAGTTGAATAATATGTAAAAGTAATTCCTTATGAAAAAATAAAAAGGAAAATTTTTTCATTTTTTTTACAAAATTTGAGCTTGAAAATTTTTTAATTATAAGTTGGTTAATTTCTGAAAATAATGAAAAAATGTAGAATAAATTTTATTTATTATCAATAATTTATTTTTGTTGTTATTATTAATTTTAAATGTAGAATAACTTTTTATCAATACTTCATTTATATCCAGTCAGAAATTAATCAATTTCGCTTGTTTATTTAAAAAGTTTTCAAAATTGATTTTCTCGAAAATAAAATTTTGGACGAAAAAATATTTTTTTTTTCTTATTTCTTTTTTTATTAAAAAAATGCCTTGTGTTTGCTTGTATGTTTTTCAATTGAATAAAAATATAAATAATATATCGTATTACGATTGCAGATTTTTATACAAATATATCGTAACATGTTTAACACGTTTATCATAAATATATATTTTTTTCTTCAAATGTTAATTTTATTTAATTTTTTATGAACTAAAATAATAATTGAATATTATTAACAAATTTATTCATATGTTGAATAAAAGTTTTGATTACGATAGAATATTAAAAACTGAAAAAATTTTGAATAATTTATATATAAAAGTAATAGAAAGATAAGTAAAAAATATGCAAATCTATATAATAAAATTACTGATATTTAACAAATATTACATAATTTGACATATATTTTGAACAACATGATATATTTTTTACATATTAGTTGAATATCTGGATTTGATGTCACCTGAATAAAAATCGATTCACGATATTATATCATTTGTTGAAATTCTTGTCTCTTTGTAGTTTTATCTTCCATTCTGAATTACCTAGCTCAACACAATTATCTATTCTATCTTAATACCTTTCTTTCAATCTTCAAAATGTCTATTCATATTCATTTTATTTAATTAATTTATACCAACTTATAATAATATAATAATAATATCTAACAATAATAATATAACGAGATCCAATGAAGTTTACAAGACGCAAACGTCTTCTTTCATCTTTTTCTTCTTTCTCCTCTTCTTTTTCTCCATTTTATAATTTTTTTTTTCCCCCATCAATGCAATGAAAATAGAAAGATTTCCCGCGAATGGGAATCCAATCTGTGTCGAGCAGTGACGTTAAAAAAAAAAAAAAAGAATTCCACTCCCGCTGGTATTTCTTTCGATATTTCTCTGCCCGGTTTCATAACCGCGCGTACTTCAAATGCTTCTTTGAAGTCGTATGAAAACACACGGTGCACAAAGTGTATACCGCAATGGCAATCGGGAATGGTAATGGTGGTTGAAAATGAACCATACCATAGAGAAATATACGTGTACATCGGTGGCCTTGTTTTTTGATTTCGTAGACGCGCCACCGATGCTGCTGTACTCCTTCATCGAGCAAACGTTGCAACCGGGGCCGGCTGTATCCTTGAAATGTTCCGCTGCTGGTAACCCAACACCGCAAGTCACCTGGGCCTTGGATGGTTTTCCTCTACCGACCAATGGAAGGTAGGCTTCATTTAATTGTTCGTAACCAAACTCCAAGGTGTGTCCAAGCAGCAATCAAATTGCTAATTATCCCATGGTATCTTATGGTGCATCGTGCAACTATATATAGGGTTAATTAATTTAATTTGATCGAATATAGTTTTCGAGGGATGGATATTGTATTTGATGGATTCGCTATTTAGGGCAAAGTGATTATTTTTAGTTAATGTTATATTATGAAAAGTATTTACATTGAAAAATTAGATTGGAAGATTGGATTTTTGATGCTTGTTTATTTTTTTAATGTGTTAAATTATTAGTGATTGTGGTATTGATTTTTGTATTAATACGAGGGAAGGATTCGTAGAAATATTTGATTTATGAAATATGAAAAGAGAAAAATAAAGACATTTGAAATCTGAAATATAATCAATTTTGATTATATAATTTTTATTATTCCAAAAAATTTTTTCGTGATTTGTATTAATGCTTAATTTTGATTATAAATATTTGAAAAATATAATTTATTTTTGATCTTTTGATTGAAGAAAAATATTTTTCTTTTTATTTCATCTTATTTTTATTGTTCTTTTACTACTTTTCTTATCATTCACTTTTATTATTTTTATTAGTATCAGATTTTTCATATAATAATATATAGCATCATCGATGAGTTTAATTGCTATCAGTGATGATTTGAAAATATTAAAAAATTTCATATCATTTTCAATATAGAACATTTTTCATAAAAAATATTTCGTTGCTCTATTAATGTTATGGATTAAATTAAATGGAATTTATTAATGACTTATAATGTTTAAATTCTCATATAAGATTACATAATATCGATTTCTGGCTACGAATATTTTTCATATGTAACATGTCATGATTAAATAACACGAAATATTTTCTTTTCCATTAAATTTTTCCTACATTTTTTTAATTTTCTGTTAAATATAAAATAATCAAGAAAGTTTTGTTATTTCTTTTGTAATAGAAAAATATATGATAAAATAAAAAACTATTTATGCAACGTTGTTTTAAAAATAAAACAATTGTTGAATTGTGTGTTGAATCACATTTAGAATTATTCATTTTTATATTTCTATTATATATTATCTACTATATTCAATTACAATCAATTCATAAAATTCTTAAAGGTCATTCTCTTGAATTGTTATAAATTTAATTAAATTTCAACAATCAACATTAAAGTTAAAAATAAAGAAGAAGATATCTTCATAATTTCCCAAAATTGTAATTTTCATAAAATCAGTATTTATACTTTTTTTCCCCCATTAAATAAGAATAATTATTTTAATGAATAAAAATCTGTTTTCTATTCATTTCAAAACTAACAAAAAAAACGACAAAAATTTTCTTGGTTGCTAATTATCATTTAATCTTAAGTTATTCTAATTTCTTCCGTATTCGTACAAAATCCTACTTTAATAATATCAAAGCAAACAGGGCACACGTTACTGTCACGTACGGCTGATAAAATATACGCCATTTCTCCTTGGTCCGTCGCATAAAGCATACGCTCGTAACTCTTGAACAATTGTTTTAACGCGCGGTTGATGTCCCGTAATTAAAATGCAATCTGCCTGTGGCAATGGTCGAGGACTCGCATCTGCGCGAGGCCAATTTCAATTTCAAGTGCAATATCCCGGCAAGAAGCCGGAATATTTATTGCGACGGCACGGAGCGTCCTCGTGGCGGCGGATGGAAAAGGCAAAAGGCAGAAGAAGGACACGAGAGGATATGACGAGAGGAGATTCTCGTACGGGTTTAACGACAGATCGACATAAAAGATGCTCTGCGATTCTTCGGCCGTGCCATTTTATCATCGTTCTCGGCCATTTCCTTCCTTCCTTTTCGACGAAAAGCAATTCGTATATACCGGTTGCCTCGGGGCAAAAACGAGCGATTCACATACGTTTCTTTGCAATTACTGTTTTCCACGACACACGCAAAATTAATAATTTCATTGGAAATTGGACCACTTTGAACGGGGATGCGCTTGTTGCGACGCGGTAAATTGAAAAACGATCTCTCTTATTGGAGAATAGAAAGTTGTTGAGTGTCTCTTATTCGTGAGCAAAGTTAATCGTAATTGGAAAAAAAAAATAATAATAATTTGTTCATTAACTGGGGAGGATTTTGTTGAAATTGCGTGGAGAAGTTTACTTGTGAAATATATTTATTAATTTTATTTTACATTGATGTGTTGTGAAAATTGAGACTGAAGATTGAATAAATATATAAATATATAAATGAAATTTCAGAATAAAAATTGAATATTTGTTCGAAGGAAAAAAATAACTAGTAAAAGTAGTAATAGCATGTTTATAATCAAACTAATTTCCTATTGTAATATCTTAGGGAATGAAATAGTGATAAAATTCGTATTATAATTTTATGCTTTTTTTGCAGTCTTGTTGTTTTCAATGAAAAACAAAATCGATTAAGACTTATTTTGTTTAATTTTGAATTAATAAATTTGGAATAAAATAATCAATTTCTCTTTTTTTTCTTAAAAATAAAATAAAATAAAAACTTTCTGATAAATTTAATAATTAACAATTCCAAATTATATTTTTTAAACATTTTTTCTTAAAACTTGTTCTATTTAAATTTATATAAAGGAATCAATCTCAGTTTTAGAATTGGTTAAATCCAGCTTCCAAGTAAAATTAGTTAAAGTAAAGAAAAGTAGTAAAACTCCATTATTCTTAAAACCATGGAAATCCATCAATATTCAGTTTAACCAGTAAACTCGCAAAACTACTGAGAAATAATTTAAAATTAGAATATAAATTACCCACTTAAAATAAACTTTTCTTTATCAAAGTTTTCCATTTCATTTTTTCTTTTTTTGATTAGTATATATTTTTTTAAATTACCTTTTTCACTGACAAAAAATATCGATATTTTTAGAATTAATTATTTAAAATGATAATGATAATATAAATAAAAAAAAAGATTAAAAAAAGATTGTGACATAAAATTTCTTTGTTAAATTGATTGTTATTTGAAGTATGAATAAGTTAAAAAAAGAATTTTTCATTAATATTCAAAGGTTCATGATTGGTCAATACGTAACAGTTCACGGCGATGTTATATCACATGTCAATATCAGCCATGTGATGGTGGAGGATGGAGGAGAATATTCTTGCATGGCCGAAAATCGAGCTGGGAAAGTCACTCACGCTGCTCGCCTCAACGTTTACGGTAAATTTTATACTAAATCTAATAACCAAAATTCATATTGTTTAGCAAATTGATGTTCTTCGATAAAATTTCTTTAACTTATAGTTTACATTTCTATCAAATCTTTCATTGCTTCAAATTGTTTAAATAAAATTGAGATAATTTATATGAATAAATATATAAATATACACATATATATTTAAGATATTTAAGACGGATTAATTAGATTATTAGTAATTAAAACTTAGGTTTCAATAGTTAGAAATAAATAAGTAGTATTGCTATATGTGTTGTCAGACATTTTATTACACATCAAATTGAATATTATTTTTATATGAAAGAAAAAAGTTTTATAATAGTTATACTTAATCCTGTATAAAATTTACATTTAAACCATAATTTTGTTACGTAATCTTCTTTGCAAAACTCTATTCTTGAAAAGATAATTTTATCATAGGAATAATATTCATAATCAAATTGTTAATATAAAGACAATAAGAATATTACAAAAAAATATTAATAAGAAATATTAGAAAATTAATTGATAAAAATTATAATTTCATTTTTTTCTTCAATAAATATTTCATTACTTTATTTATGTATTTATTAAAACATATATTTTAAATAATGAATAATATTTCATAAATTTCAATCAACTATTTATTCGTTTTTCTTATTTGTAAATTTTTGTTTTTCTTACCTCAGGTCTTCCATACATTCGACTAATTCCAAAGGTTACCGCTGTTGCCGGTGAAACTCTTCGTTTGAAATGTCCGGTCGCCGGCTACCCAATCGAAGAAATTAAATGGGAACGAGCGAATCGCGAATTGCCAGATGATCTTCGACAAAAAGTGCTTCCAGACGGTACCTTGGTCATCACGAGCGTGCAGAAGAAAGGCGATGCAGGCGTGTACACGTGTTCAGCGAGGAATAAACAAGGACACAGCGCGAGAAGATCGGGAGACGTCGCAGTGATCGGTAAGGCATTACGTTCGATCCGCTATCCCACGATTGTTCCAGATTGTTTCGATTCCAAGCGGACGACATCAAGCGTGGAAATGGCTCGCCATTATCCGATGGAATAAAAATAAAAAGCGAAAAAACCACCTACGCTTTTGAAAGAATCGTTATTACCCTTCGAGCAATGTTGTGCAAAAACAAGAAAAAGAAGAAAAAAGAAACAGAAAGAAAGAAGACATTTTCTAGGATTCTAGGATGAAGGATGTTCCCGGATGACGTGTTATAGAGCTTCGTCTATGCTTATCGAGTTCACAAGCTGTCCTTGTTGTTATTATTCCAGTTCCTCCCAAAATTAGCCCATTCACGGCAGATCGTGATCTTCACCTCGGCGAACGAACGACGTTGACTTGCTCGGTGACGAGAGGCGATCTGCCTCTCTCGATCTCCTGGCTCAAGGATGGACGAGCGATGGGCCCGTCGGAGCGAGTCAGTGTCACCAATATGGACCAGTACAATAGCATACTGATGATTGAACATTTATCTCCAGATCACAACGGCAACTACTCGTGCGTGGCCCGTAATCTGGCCGCAGAGGTATCACACACGCAGCGGCTTGTGGTTCATGGTAATCCTCCTCTAGGCCCCCTTCACTTTTGCCTGACGACCGCCTGCCCGCCCGAAATTCGAACGAGTGTCGATCAGTATGAGTGCGTACACGGTTGCCCACACTCGCGAATGAACCGCGTGAGGATCTCAAAGTGCTGTTATTCCCTTCTTCGTATTCAGAAATCATTTAGTCTAAAGCGACCAGATATAATAACCATTTCACGTATTTTCACACGTTTCTTCGTTCTCGCTTCCTCTGGAAACATTGGTGTTTTAGCGCTATCTCACCGCTGTAAATAGCTTTCAACGTGAACCAATTACCAATGAAGATGTGTGATCGCACAGCTCGTTAAGTTCTTACGCGTTCATTCGAGAAGGAGTCTTTATTTTTTTCATCTAAATACAAAAGCCATCGACGTTATTCAGGAACGTAGAGACCTGGTGACGCGTTACTTCATGACGGCTCACGCTTAGCGTGGCTCATCCTCCTGCACGAGACCTGCCACTATCATCTCCTACGTTTCTCCCTTGGTTCTCCAATTTCGACTCTTCGAACAGGGATCCCTTTTACGATCGAATCAAAATCGTTCAACAACATATTTTGTAACGCAAAGATTTGGCCGCGAAGAAACGAAGAATTTTTCACTTGAGAAAAATAAATATTTTCGAAGGGTCGAACGAATGCTAGCTCTTGCGTTGGGAACGACCGTATGCGGCGTGAGTGTGCGATGCCAAGTTAAGTGTACAAGATGTTTTAGGGCGGCAGGGGCAGGTCCGCGGCGGGGCCACCCTCTCTCTCCTCTACATTGCTACGTTACTATACTGCCTCTATTGTACATATTCTACGTATATATATATACATATTATATTCTATATATATATCTATACATATACATGGACGTACTACTGTCTATATATATAATATATATAAACATATACCGCTACTTATATAAAAAGAGAACATATATATATTTATACATATATATATAATGAACACATGTACCTGGTACAAAAAAAAGGTTCTTGCGTTTTTTTGGTGCCATCTTTTTCTCGCTCTCACGTATGGTTCTCTCTTCTCTCTTGACCTTTTCCAGTACCCCCTATTATTGAGCCATTTACGTTCCAAGAGGGACTATCCGAGGGGATGCGGACGCGGACGGTGTGCGGGGTCGCGGCGGGTGATCCACCCTTAACTATATCCTGGCTAAAAGACGACCAAAGCCCTTTCCCTTTGCCGCCTAATATCGCTTCCGCAAACATCTCCCAACTGGATCCTTATTCGAGCCTCCTCAGTATAACGAACCTCGCGGCCGAGCACTCCGGCGACTATACCTGCGTCGCCGCGAACCCCGCCGCCGAGGTCAGGTACACGGCCAAGCTACAGGTAAAAGGTAACTAGATGATCGGCGACCCTTTTCCATCATCATCCTGAAAACCTAAAATCGATCTGACATCATTATCTTTATCGATCTCGACGGGAGTCCGGATGGGATATTTCTTATCTTATATTTTATATAGATTGAGAAATTTTTTTGCCAAAGTTTTTCTTCCTTTCTTTTTTCTTTTTTGTAAAGAGTAACGAGTGCTTTGTTGAGTGCTTAACGAGATAATTTATTTTGTTGGATTTGTATTTGTTGGATTTTATTTTTAGAATTTAACACGTTTAGTCTGACGAGTGTGTTTTGTTATTTGTTTTTTGTTCGCAAACTTTTTTTAGACGGTTATTTAGCTGAGTTTATTGTCAACACTTTAGTCCAGCTATTTATAGAGTTTTGTAATTATTAATTAATTTGATTGAGTAGATATTTGATTGAAGCGGATATGCGTATTTAATAGTACTTAAATATTTTTTTGCCATTGAAAATTTTATTGCGCCTTAAGAGATCATTGAAAGCTCGAGATTTAATAAATAATACGTATTTTACGATAAAAAGTAACGTCGAGGTCGAGATCATCCTTAGATATCCTGCGTCCAATTGTACATCTTGAAAAATTAATCAAATCCATCTTTGTCCGAATTGCCATAATCAATATCCGTAACCATCGAGTCATAACGCTTTACTAATTCGATTCCTGCATCACCATCGTTAATCGTCGTAGTGTTCTCGCGCGAATTAAAGGCAAGCTACAAACTTGATAATCCTGAAATTATAATTATACATAGAGATATGAAATATTAATCATTATGAGAATTTATTCGTAGCGAGATCACGCACGTTTCATTATCGAACCCTTTAAATTCATTGAATTCATCCTATTCTCCTTGAAATCCAGAAAATTCCCTGTTCCTCAGACACAGTGTGTATTACATTTACGTTGCTTTGGCTCTCTGGGAATGCGTCGGTATCTCGTGGACCCCCGAGGTTTGCTTGACTTGACCGAATAATAAAGGTAACAGTTTGCACCTTTCCTTATTTTTACTCGTTTCTTAAAACGGAGCAAGCAACCAACCAACCAAGCAAAACTAAAAAAAAAAAAATAATATATATATAATGACAATGATAATGGCGATGTGTACGAACAAAAATGAAACTCTCTTCTGGCCTGCGTGCGTGCGTGTATGTGAGCATCGATACACTTTTATTCTGCATGCTCTTTTTTACTTATGACATAGCTGTGATTTTTTCTTGTCTGCATAATATATTATATATATATATATATACCTTATATGTTTGTGTACATAAATTATTATTACTTATATATATATTTTAAGTGTTTTTTGATCACCCGAGTACGAGCACGTGCCACTCTGCTCACGACCAATAATCTTCACAGAAAACCTATGCGCTGGCTCTTCTTTGGGCTCGTTGGAAGGCAACCTTTTTTCATTACACTTTCTGCATGCCTTTTTTTCACTGTCTTTTCTATTTCTGTCACGCTCTTTTTTATCTTTCTTTCGCGATCGCGAAACGCACGGGTCACGAATGCAATCGACTTTCCATCTCGAGCATAAATGAAAATATACAAGAAGAAAGGATTATTAAATATCCATATATTTGCGTGCACATTGTTTGTAAATATAATTCTGTTTTGTAAAAAGGTATAACGTCAACCGAGGTAAAATTATAATATTTTGAAAGTAAAGATAATACGTACCCCGTGCAGTTTCCAATTGCGAATTTTCGGTAATGTAGGCTAGTAGTACGTATTTATGATTAATTAAATTTCGTATTCGTCAAACTAGTCGTTAGAAGCGGGTACTTGATATATATCTATATATACATATATATATTATTATTCGCCTTTCCACGATATATATATCTATATATCTTTCGGTCTTCCGCCGACATGCTCTCATCCATAACCTCACAATCTCCCGCCCAATTTGCGCCTTTTCTTCTTCCGAGAGTTCTACTTGTTTCACGCCACAATTGAACGACTATCTTATATATTTAATGACACGTTATATACACACACATATTTACATACCACTTGATCTATATACACACACACACACACACATATATATATATCTATATATATATTATATTGTCGCACGCGTTAATGCGTGGCCGGTATTTGCCGTCTTGTAAAACGTTGGAACTCCCACTCACAGTATCTCGCTTGTGCAGCGTTTTTCACCACCGTAAAAAGTAGAACCCGCCAAACAATACACCCCAAAAAATACATAAAACCTTAAACTCTCGACACGTCGATGCGCGGCGTACCGATCGTATTACCGTTGGAACTCTTTCTCTCTCTTACATCCGGTGTTTGTCGCAATTTAGACGATGCACACAATTAGTGGTGATTTCGTTTCAGCCGTAGCTAGATATACAGAATCTCAGATAGATGCTTCATTCTGCACTGTGTACCTCTTTTTTTTCTTCTCTTACTTTTTTACTTTTTTTTTTTTTTTTTTTTTTATTTTCTTCTTTTTCGTATGTTCCTTTTTGGGCTACGTATGTACGTTTATGGTGTATCGAACGAACGCTTTTACATTGATGATCCTTTAGTAGAAGCAGAGAACAGAACCGTCATTTAATTTATTCCAAATGATTCTAGATAATCGGTCGAACAAGTTTCGCACGTCGCGAACGTCTCGCATCGACACGTGACCCCCCACTTCCATACTTGAACCTCACCCACGAACCTTCATTCACTTTGATCTTAATGTCTCTATCACTTTTTCATTACGTAAATTTAATCATTTTTTTTCTTTTTCCACCATCTATAACGATACTCGAAATTTATCAAAATTTCTGTCGCGTATAATTTGTAAATTTTACCGCGCATGTTAAAATAATTAATACTTTTTATAAATAATTTTTGAATTAAAGAGAGAAAAAAAAGGAAAAGAAATAAAACGGAAAAAAAAAAGGAACGATGATTCCTCGTCGACGACAAGCGTCATCGCTCAACGTTTTCTTTCTTACTTTCACTTTTGTACAGTGTATACTTCTATCTCATTTTGTACATATATATATATATATATATACATATCTCGATAATACGTCTACAACGATGCAACGCTACACCGTCGACGAGTTCGTCCTTTGACCGCGCTTTTTACGACTCTTTCACGACGTACCTGTCTCTAAATCGCTAACGACCAGTAAAAATAAACATAAATCGCGAGTAACGCGACGGATTTCTCTAAAGCTGTCCGCTCTGGTTTTCAGTACCTCCACGATGGATCGTAGAGCCTACGGATGTCAGCGTTGAAAGAAACAAGCATGTCGCTTTGCACTGTCAAGCGCAAGGCGTGCCCATCCCTACAATTGTATGGAAAAAAGCCACGGGTAAAAAATTTGTTATATCAAATAAAGATGTTAAACAATGTAAAGAGTTGTTTAAAAGGTGAATAAGAGTTAAAGAATAATTAAAACTTAAAATATATAGTTAATATAAGTATATTTAATTATTTTATATAAATGATTGTAGTTATATATGATGTAATGAAAATTGTCATGTCATCCCAAAAATATTTGAAAATTTTGGAAATTCATTTTTAATTGCAAACGATTAATTATATTAATTCGTTACTACTTTAATTAATAGTTAATAATTAAATAAAAAATTACACTTGCAATAACTTACAGTATTAATATACAAATGATTGGCAAAGCACAAAGAAGTTTTTCTAATTATGTCAAAGATATATTCTAATTATAATAAGTTTGAATATGTATAATAAAGCAATGATAAAAAAGAAGGTAAAAAATTGAATTGACAATAATGTATCGCATTACGAATTACTTTTTATCTTGAAAATGTATAAACTAATATTAGAATTGTTTTTTTAATTGGAAGAACAAAATATATTTGTTAAAAAGAATATTAAATATTTATTTGAAATATAGAAAAAATGTATCATAGTTATTTTAGTGAAAATTAATTGATCGAATATAATCAAACGTGTCTATTTTCATAAAACACAATATTAATTTCATCAAAAATATTTATTTATATTTTCAATAATTATAAAACAAAAAGTTTTAATATTCTTTATTCTGAGAAATTGCTAATTCTGTTAAAGAATAAAGTTCAATAAATAATTTTCCCTCTTTTTATAATTTTTAAAAACTCTCTAGAATTTTGTAATGTTTTTTATTAAATTTTTCTTATCTTAATAAAAATTTCATTAACTCAAGAAGTAAATTTTTGCTAAAATCGTAATATAATGTATATAACATAATAAATATCTTTCAACTTTTATAAAAAAAATTTTCAAATCCAAGAAATAAATAAGTCAATTTAAATTCTTCTTTAATCTTTTATTATAACAACATTTGTACTTTTACGTTTAATATTTCGTACTTCACGATTGAAAATTTCTCTTTATCTGAACAAAATAGGAAGCAAATCCGGGGAGTACGAGGAGTTACGAGAAAGAGCGTACACGAAAATCCTCAGTAATGGTACGCTGTTGTTGCAACACGTGAAGGAAGACAGAGAAGGATTTTACCTCTGTCAAGCGAGTAATGGCATTGGAAGTGGAATTGGCAAAGTAGTCCAGTTAAAAGTAAACTGTAAGTACCTCTCTTTGTCGAACGTAAAAATTGAATAACCACTCAACAAATACATCGCTTCTTTTTCAAACGATAAATTCTTAATCGTAACAAAGTCAACTAGAATTTACAAAATTTATTAGAATTTCTCGTTTTAATTTTTAATAATAGCCTCTCCATATTTCGCGGCTCCATCGAGACTTGTCACTGTGAAGAAGGGTGACACCGCAACTTTGCATTGCGAGGTACACGGCGACACACCGGTCACCGTCACCTGGCTGAAAGGCGGAAAAATTGAGTTAAATCCCTCGACGAACTATCGGTAAAACTGAAATTAGCTTGAGCACTGTTGAATGAAACTTGCTGAAATTGTTAGAATCTTGTTTCCCAATGTTTAATAGAAAAATGTTATTTTAAAGTTTAATTAACTTTTGATCAAATTTCGATCAACTTTGTTTCGTTATTTAGTGATAAGTGTTTGCGTTAAACAGAAACTATTTAAACTTGATTAAAAATTTGAATTCTAATTACTTTTTATTACGGTTGATTACGCGTTATTATTTTATTATTGTATTATATTGAATATTATATTGTAAATACTTTACAATTATTTTATTACGCGCAAAGAGTTACAGTGAAACGTGAGGTAACACCAGATGGTGTAATAGCGCAATTACAAATTTCTTCGGCCGAAGCGTCCGATAGCGGCGCCTATTTCTGTCAGGCGAGCAATCTTTATGGTCGTGATCAACAATTGGTGCAACTCCTCGTACAAGGTACAATACTTTTATCGACAAGAATGAATATATCTGTAAAAATATTCGTAAAAAAAAAAAAGCAAACAATTTTATTCGAATCTAGAGCCACCACAACCGCCAAATTCTTTAGAAACAGCCATGGTTGCCAGTCGAAGTATTAACGTAAAATGGCAGCATAAATCGCAAGATACCACCGAAGTGACTAAGTACATTTTACAATACAAAGAAGGCGATGGTGATTATTTTACAATTATCTTAGAGAAAAAGTATATTAATAATGAAAATACAAATGGAATCACTTAATTATAATTAATTTAATGCCTATCAAATAACTTGTATTAAAACAGCTGGGATATGGCAACAACAAGAATTCACTGGGCCACCTCTGCCATATGCTGCTCTAATAGATGAATTGAAACCGGCAACTAGATACACTATACGCGTAATAGCCGAAGGACCAGCAGGCAGATCAGTACCCTCGGCGGAACTGATTGTCAGAACGGAGCCACAAAGACCGGCTGGACCCCCGATTAATCTTGAAGCTAGAGCTTTGTCCTCCTCTGAAATTTTAATCACTTGGTCACCACCATTGCCTGAACTTCGACACGGTGACATTCAAGGATTCAATGTTGGCTATAGAGAAACAAGGTAGGAATGTCAAAGCAGAGTGTGCAATCGATTTTGTGGCTATCTATAGTTACCATATCTCGAGTGAAATTCATTAATCAGCTTCTAATAGTTATATAAATATTGTGTATTTATTAAATATTTAACAAAGAAATTATATATGATAACAACATGTATAATTCTATATAGAGTGATGTATTTGATGAAAGATCTAATATCTCTATTTATTTGGTATTAGAAAAAAAATATGTCAGATCGTTTCATTTTAAAAACTTTTAAAAATTAATGTTTATATTTCTAGGCATTTACATATCAAAATTATTTGTATAAATTATATATTCTTCAATATTATAGAAGTTATAAATGTAATACATTTTTTTTCTAATAACAACTGAAATATGCTTCATTTTATATGCACATGCAGAGTTTTAAAAAAAAGCAACAAATTCTTTTAAATTAATTTTTATCATTTTTATCATTTAGAATTTAGATTTAGAAGCACAAAATTGTCAATTCAAAATTATATTTAAAAATACATAATAATGTATAATGATTATTAAAAAATTTATTTAAAAAAAGAATCTTTTACTTCGTTTCTATGAAGTAATCTCATAATTGATATTAAATAATAATTTTGACATTTTTCAGCTAATATATTTCTGAATCAATTCTTTTGTTCAACGAAAAGATTGGACAATAATTATATAGCATAATTATATAGCATAATTATAATCCTCAAAGTCTTTCTTTCTTTTAAATTGAATTGAATTTCATAATTTAATTATACAAATACTTTGAAACACGTCGAACTGTTCAAGTTTAGAACTCCATTATCAATCTTCTTTCAGCTCGTCAAATCCCTCGTATAACTTCAGTTCCGTGTCCGGAGACGGAGAGGAAGGGGGTGCAGAACTTCGGCTAACAGGGCTTCGACCTTATACAAAGTACACTTTGGTGGTTCAAGCGTATAATCAAGTTGGATCTGGACCACTTTCCGAACCTTTGCTCACACAAACGATGGAAGATGGTAAATAACGTTCTGAGAACAGCAAAGTATCAAAAATTTTCTTAATAAATTATATTATAATTAACTAGTTCCCAGTATACCACCCGAAGATGTAAGATGCGCTGCGTTAACTTCGCAATCCCTTCAAGTGTCTTGGCAACCACCGCCTAACACGCACAGCAATGGTATTATTCAGGGATATAAATTACACTATGAACCTATCTTGGCGGACATGTGGCGCAGCGTCGATGAAATGGAAGTAAGCAATAATGAATTTAAGAAATATCTGAATTCCTTCCATGCATTCTAATTTTTGTTTTTTAGGTTCGTAAGACTAGCGCTTTAACCACTGTTCTTACGGGTTTGAGAAAATACACGAACTATACTATTCAAGTATTGGCTTTCACCAGAGTTGGGGATGGTGTACCTACGACTGTAACGTACTGCCAAACGGAGGAAGATGGTAAAGTGTTTCACAAGCTAATCGAGAATGAATAAAAATTTAATAATTAAATCATTTTCAATTTCTTCGTTGTAGTGCCAGGTAGTCCAGCAGATATAAAAGTGGTGGTTAGTTCGCCGCAGGCACTTTTTATCTCTTGGCTTCCACCTTTAGAGCCAAATGGAATTATTACAAAATACAATTTGTATACAAGGTAAAAAACAATTGTATTTATATAATTTCTTAATACGAAGTATATATTGCAGTACGATTATTTAAAAGAATGTAAAATCAACAGAGTCGTGGATGGTCGAGAAGAACTGAATCATGGTAAACGAACACTGCCAGCAAAGAATACCTACTTTGAAGCGACTGATTTGCAGCAACACGTGGAATATCAATTTTGGGTGACCGGTAGCACCCGTGTAGGCGAAGGTCAAAGTTCCAAAGTAGCTGCACAAGTGCCAACCAATCGAGTACCAGCTAGAATTACGTCTTTTGGTGGCCACGTAGTGCGACCATGGAGAGGGTCTGCCACCCTGGCTTGCAACGCGGTTGGAGATCCTACCAGAGAGTGGTACAAAGGTCAGGGGGAACAAATTCGCACCGATTCAACGAGGAATATACAAATTTTGCCATCTGGAGAACTCATGTTGTCAAATTTACAATCACAAGATGGGGGAAATTATACTTGTCAAGTGGAAAATGCTCAAGGCAATGACAAATTGCATTACACTTTGACGGTACAAGGTAAAGTTTAATTTCTGGAAACATAATACATACTATTTCAATTTTCTTCCAATCGAATGCTCCAACAGTGTTTTTCCATTGTTCAAACCAGTGTTGGAAATTATTTTTGTGAAACGTTGTTCAGGATTTTCATCGTTTTCGCGTTTTGTGATCATTGGCTTTATAATATTTTTCTCCATTTCTTTTTTTTTTTTTTTTAGCATTAACGACTATAGTTTCTTACTTGTTATTCTTTAAAAATATAATAGAAGACATTTTTGAACATAGATTAAAAACAAGCAACCAACTTATCATAGACTCGCGAAATTTAACTTGTTCATAAATAAGAGTATATAAGAATATTTGCATTCTTTGTTGGATATTGTTGAAATAACAGTAAAAGAATCATTCTATGAATTTTATTGATAACACAAATTTTTAATGTGATACAAGAATAACTCTTTTTATTCATAGTGCCACCCAGCGCGCCTGTTCTTTATGTAACGAGTTCTACGTCGAGTAGTATTTTATTGCACTGGAAATCTGGGCACAATGGTGGTGCTTCACTCACAGGATATACATTGTATTATCGAACAGCGCACGGGAATTTAGACGAATTACAATTATCCCGTCACGCTACAAGTCATGAATTGAAGGTATAAGATTTTGAATAAAAGACTTTCAAATATTTCAATCAACATATTTCGTTTGAAACTTATCAATGTTAATAATAGATGAATAATTCAAGCGCTTTATTGATTGTTAGGGCCTCTTATGTGGGAATACATATCAATTGCACTTAACGTCTCACAATAAAATCGGAAGCAGTCCATCGTCACCAGTTCTCTCGGTCAGAACTCAAGGACAAGCGCCAGGAATACCACCTGCCGCAACATTCCTCAGTCCAAACTCAACCACACTAGTTCTCAGGCTTCACGTGTGGCCAGATAATGGTTGTCCAATACTTTATTTCACAATTCAGTATAGACCCATCAACGAATTTCATTGGACATTGGTGTCGAACAGCGTGAAAATGCAACGGCGATTTGTCGTGACAAATTTACAACCAAGTTCTGTTTATCAGCTGAAAGTTGAAACTCACAATGTAGCTGGTAGCAATCAGGCGGAGTTCACGTTCGTAACTTTGACGAAGGAAGGCGGTAAGCGGTAGTGATGTAGCTATTCTTCTTCCAAAATCAATTGAAACTGAATCTCGGTGTGAATTTCAAATAATATGACAAATTTGTCTAAATTTTTATAATTTTAATGATTATTTCTCAATCGTCTCACACTGTTCATTTATGGATGAAGAATAATAATAGTTGATGGAAACTAAATTTAGAATAATTAGAGAAAACCAACTTAATCAGATTGGTGAAAATATTCAAGTTGAAAGAATTATATCCAAAAGCACTGTGTTCCTGAAACCTTGCAGAACCTCCACCTCCAGAACTATCAAAACGTGGAATTGCTTCGACCGTGCCATTTTATGCGGATGTGAAAGTGATGCTGCCTCTGATTGTTGCCACTGTTGCCTTAGTTGTTGCTGTTGTGATCGTAGCTCTTCGCTGGCGAAGCAGTAAGTTATTCACATTTTAAATCTGAATTAATTATTAATTAATTATTAAATATCGTTAATATATTTTATATCGCTATTTTGAGGTAAATATTAAAACCACTATAATATTTAATCATTTTTATTTTACAATAAAATATTTATATTCGTCGAATCAATCCGATATCCATTGTCAAAACTTTCTTACTGAATAATTGACTTTCTGCTATCACAATCAAAAGTTTTTCAATAAAAGTTAAATTCTGTTTAAAATTTTATTCATTCGACTCGAAGCTGAGAATCAATTATTCCTCTTCAATTTTTGAACAAAGCAATATTTGTTTATTTTTCAGGAATGTGTTAATGACGAATATAAATTATTCCATTCTATTCTTTCGTCTTGTTTAGTCCGATCTATCCGATCTAGTGATCTTTGTATATCTTTGTACATCAGGATATCTTGGGGATAGAATGCAGCGTCCCATGAAGGAATCTCAGGAGAATCAACAAAACGCTGAAACCCAAAGGGAACGTTATTACGCGACAATTCACAAGGTGGCTTTACAACAAGCGGCGAATACGGGTGGAGGGCCCGACAAGATTCCAGGTGAACCTTTGTTACGATACGGACGACAGCCAGGTTTGGTACTATAATTGTTGTTCAGGTAAAAGTCGCACGCGTAGCGCTGTCCACTCGAAAGGGCAGTTAGCGATCGATTACAGTTCACAAGCGAAGATGGATCACATCTTCGTTTCATCATTCTACACCATCGTCTTTTTTCTTTACCTGCACTTCATCACGAACGATGTTTCATTTATTCTTCACCATGTTCGACATTTCATCATGCATCGCTTTTACCTTTGCTAATCATCCTCTATAATATTCTATAGGATCGTACTCTCCCTTAGGACGCCATTTTTTGAATAAACTTAACGAGGAGAACTCATTGAGAAAATGTTTACGAATATATTTATAAACTTCTAAAAATATATTGTGATACATTTGTAAAAATACATTCCTAATTTAATTACTAATTTATTCCATTCTATAATTTGAAATATACTATTTTCTTTTTTTATCCTTAAATTTTAATTCTTAGAAATATTTTTTTCAATTTTGTTACAAAAATATTAAATTTAAAATATAAGAGTTCTCCTCATCGATCATAGTTGGCCATTAAAAAATTAGAAAAGAAGAGTAATAAAAATGGGGGGGGGGGGAAAGGATTATTCTTTGTGATAGAGTGGAAAATTGATAGTCGCATAAAAAATTCATCCCGACGCGATTTGAAAGGTAGGCAATGCCTCTGATGGGTTACAGAGACAGCGGAGGACATCTCGCCGTACGCTACGTTCCAGCTTTCGGAGGGTGGCGGGGGAAGCCTGGCAGGGTTGGGAGGGTTGGGAGGACTGGGAGGCGCGGCGGAAGCTTCAGCGGCCGGTCTCCACCCGAACAACACTCTTCTTCACAGTTTCATGTATCACGAGCACGCCATGACCGAAGGGTGCGCAAGCCCTCCACCTGCAGCAACGGTAAGTGTAAATTGATTTAGATTAATATTTAAAATAAGTAAAATGATGTTCAATAAAAATAATATTTAACAAAATAAATATCAAGACTTTGTAAGTGTTCTAAAAATTCATAAGGTTGTCATTTAAAAAATATTAGTAATAAGATGTTAGATACATAATTCTGATATATTTTTCTGTACATATGTATTTTAGCAATATTTAAATATATGATACTTCCATTAGGGAATGGATACGTAATTTCTCAATTGGAAAATCAAATAACTTTTTAAAAATTATGGGAAAATCATAAAATATTTTATTAGATAATTGTAATAATTTTTAAAATGAAATTTAAATTTCTATTTATGGATGTTGAATTATTAATATTGTAAAATTTAATATAACATATCAAATATTCTTTAGATGAGAATAATTTTCTTTACGCTTTATATCAATATTTTATAAATAGATTGCGAATGTTTATGCAATTATAACATATCAAAATATATTTATAAAATTTATAAAATAGATTACATACGTACGAAACGAAACATATCTATAAAAGATGTTTAGCTATAAGCAGAATATATATAAATAATTTTATTGTTACCAACTATTTATTATAATGTTTGTTATGAGTTATTATAAATTATATTACGTAATTCTAATACGATTAATATTTTTTAATTCTTTTACGATATTTTCAATAATAAATTATTACGTGTTATTTAAAAAAATTAATTTGACTATATAGGTTTTATATAGATTAACAGTTTTTTTTATTAACAATATCAAACTGCATTAAAAAAAAACAAAATCGACTTTTATTTTCTACAAAAAGAACTAATAATAAGACAATATGCATTCTTCGAAACAATCCAAATATTTGTCGCTGTAAATAATGACAAAAATTAAAATAATTTTAATACACTTGAAATGTAATTTGGAAATCAAAAAAAATACGAAAAATTGTTAATTTATTTGTCAATTACTTTATAGTTTAAACATTGATATATAAAATGCAAAAAATATGCTCAATATACAAAATAAATATGCAAAATAAAAAATTTTTTAAATCTCCTAATGATAAAACATTATGTGTTTATGTGTTTATCATATCAAATTTCATTTGTTTATCTATTTCCTATAAAAATATTATGCATTTGCATAATAGTTAGAAGTTATTACAATAATCTTTTTTCAATGATAATTTATTTATTTTCATTTAAAATTCTCATTAAGAAATGTTACCAATTGTAATAAAAATAATAATAGTAATAAAGTAAATATTTATTTAATATAATTTAAAGATTATAATATTTTAATATATTAATATGATTTGATGATGATTTAAAATAAAAATTATGATGTGAAAAAATTACATTTTTAATTTTTAAAATGTTAAAATTATTTTTTCAATGTTCAAAGAAATGCCAAAAATATTAAATTTCTGTTTATTAAATGAAAATTAGAATAAATAAAATAACAATATTATTTATAAATTCATAATATATGATAAATTTAACAAAGATTATGTTTTATATTTTGATTAATATTTCTCAACAATTTTTTAATAATATGTTTTTAATAAGAAAAATAATATACATAAAAAAATAGTTAATAACTCTTTATAAATCTTAATATAAAAAAAAAATAAAAAATATCTTTAAATTATTCAAAAAGTTTCAAGCAATCATTAAATATTCATTAAATAGATCTTGATAATGCTTACCGAATTTTTAAACATACATAATTATATTTCTTACATTCTATTGTAATAATTCTATACATATTTACATATCACATATTATTTTTGCATATTAATTATATTTTACATATTGGAAAAAAATAATAATTTTCATTATTCATTTAAAATGAATTTCGATGAAATTTCTTACAAACTTATAATTTATTTGAAAAATATAATGAAACGTTTCTCTCTAGAATTTGTTATAATTTTATCATGTAATAGTAAAAGTTATTATACGATGATATCATTGATAATTGTTATACAATTATAATGAAATGTGTGTGATGCAGAGTATGAAGAGTGTTTCGTCGAGGAGACGACAACAGAGAAAACAACAAACGCCGGGCGATGTCGAGAGCGACGAGAGCGAGTCTGACCCAGATCAGCTGACGAGCTCTCGCACAGAGTCTTCCAACCAGCTAGACGCTGGCAAACTCAAACACAGTACGCCTAATTATTCGCTTTCTTGTCCTATGATCAATTAATTCGTGAAATAACGAGAATTCTTCTTTTAGTTCGGGCCGTTTCCGATTTCATTTACCACGGTACGTCGAGCACTTCTTCGGACATCTCACCCATGTCAGAGCAGAAGTCACTTCCTCGAAGAGGACGTTCTAGGTAATTGGTATATTTTTTCATAAGTATTTGTCAATTTTTTTATAGATCGTTCAAACAGAATAGATAGAATTCATTATCATTCAAGTTATCATTCATTTCATATTCATAATTCATTACGTATTCGTAACACATCGTGCAGAGCATAATTTTATATATTTTACATTTTGAATAATAAACAATTTTGATGTAAAAATCGCATACTTGGCATGTGTACAAAAGGAAAAGGATTAATTATAGAGATTAAAATAGAAAAAAATAATAATTGACATGCAAAAATGTTTATTGAAACTTATTTTTTTTTTCAATTTTGCAATAGATAAAAATAGATGATGATGTCGTTTCATTTTACCGTAGTGTTATTTTACAAAATAAAATTACAAAATTAAATTTATAATTTGAAAAATAAATATTTTACTTAATATTTTTTGCACGTCGATTTTATGTATGTTTTAATCTTTAGAATCACTCCTTAAATTTTCTTTCCATTTCATCCAGACATTTTAAATAATGAAAATAAAATGAAAAAAATCGAAAATTTTATATCGTTTCTCTTTACGTCAGAAATATGAATATATAAATTCTTTGTTTGAGTCATGGGTTTTTTAATAATTTTCTAATATTTACCTTCAGTTCGAATTTTGAAATCATTGGCTTCCAAGAATATTAATCTCAAACAATTGTCTTTTATTTTACAATATAAACTATACTTAAATTATCGAAATGCACATTATCCATATGATTAAAATTGAGGAAATTAATTCCTAACGAAATAGAAGAACAATTAAAATTTATTCTACAATTTTCAAAGAAAAATATGTTAAAATATAATGAAACGAGAAATATTTCTTACACGATTCGAGCAATCACAAGTCGCGTTCGTTTTCATAAATTAATACAATCCACCATGAAATATGCTCTGTACGGTCAGGATTCGAAGAAGAGTGGAGAAAAAACAAAAAAAAAAAAAAAAAAAAAAAAAAGAACAAACTCATGCGAATCTCATATTTTCACCCGTAGTAAGTTCATCTCATTTGGCTGTCCCGTAAGATGGCATGTTCCCAGCAGGAGCTCTCTACGCACATTGTTACCGCCTATATCGGTCGCGGAGACCACGTTCGTGGGAGGCAATCAGGGGAACGTAGTGGCAGGGAATGGCGACAGGCCGGAGCTGAGCGAGGCCGAGTGCGATATCGACTCCTTGAAGAAGCTGAAACTCGGTTTGAGAAGCTCCCTCTGGTCGAGGCCGAGCACCCAAAACAATCCCTCCTCCGACTACTCCATCGCCGTTTAATTTGCCCTCCAACTACTTTCCTCGTTCTTCATGTGCCTCCTCCCCTTCCCTCGTATTGGACACGACATAGGCCAAGATATCTTCGTTCTTCCCTCTCTTCATCCCATGGAAAAACGGGAATCCAATCCTAGCTGGCGTCTCGTCGGATGTTTCGACGTGGTTAAATTTAAAAATTTAAAAGGAAGGAAAGGAACGAAAGAAAGCGTCCCCCTTTTTCTCTCTGTCGATTATAGATGAAGAATTAAATTATATTCGATTGATCGGGTGATGAATCGGCGGATGAATCGGTTGTAGATAACGAAGAGAAGTGAAAGAAAAAGAATTTGAAATTCTAAATGTCACGAGATGATCACGTTAATTTATAATTCGAATGAATTATTATTGTTTATCGTCCAAGCGTCTTCGTCGAGCGTAACCCATTTTACCATTCTCTTCTTTATCTACGACGCAACGATATATATATATATATATATATATATATATCCGTGAGTGCGTGTGCATGCGTAACGAGTGAATGAGTAAAGAGAGTCGAATGAGTTAATCGGGTGTGTAAGAGTGCGTGCCAAACGACAATTTGCTCAGACTCGCTGCGACTCGTTTGCCGGCGGGCGACCCATTCGAGACCAAAGACTTAATCGTACGAGCGGAGCACGGGAAAGTCCTTGGAGCAGAATCGTGGAAAATGGCGTCGCATTGCAAGATTCGCGAGGATCTTAACGTTTCTAATCTTTCTTCGAACGAATGGGCGATCGAGCTTTGAACATTTCGAATTCATTTACATTATTTTTACGATTATACGATGTTATAAGTGGATAAATCGTGATACGTAATTATAATCGATAAGACGGCGAGGGTTGAGAAAACGTTTGCCCGACGACGGTGAAATTAACGATTGCGTAACTAATTGCCGCGATTTAAGCAACGTGCCACTTCTCAGAGCATTTATTTTGGTCACGCTGGCCTACACCGTTCGATCCTCGATTCTATGTAGATCCTCGTCGTTATTCTTTGCGGCCATTCTTTCCTATGTTTCAAACACGATTCGATCATTACGAAACACTCTAAATCTGAAAAATCTATTCTTGGCCAATATTTTATATAAGTCGTGTAATGAATAGAATATCTTTTATCATTTCCTTTTATATTTCGAAACGTATTCGAAGAATATTCGACAAAGTTTTTTTATTTTAATTCAAAACAGGTAAATATATCTAAATATTAACAATGATTAGAATTCTTTAAATCTTTTTTAAATCGATCAACAAACAACCACTTCGAACAACAACGAATCATAATAAACAGTTCGAAGCTCGTTCGCAACGTTCGTTGCCGAAAGAAGCGATTCCTTCGACAAATCCGTAAGACTGATTTCCTTCGTTCGACCGCTCTTCCACAGAGCTCGCCCGCTATAATTTCAACGATATATGCATACGAATCGACGGCAGGCGTCGTTTTCCGCTCTCGATTCGTGCTCGCCTCGTGTCCAGTTGCGTACGCGGTATTAGAATCGGGAATGCAAGTTATAATAACCGAGAGAAACCGAGGATGGCGAAAGAAAAAAGAAAAACTTACGCGCTGTTGCCGTGGTAGGTTTTTTTTTTAAAAAAAGACGACAATGAGACGTGCTCGTTCGCCGAACGAGCGGTGGCGAGCACGTCCAAGGTTGGGCTCTGTTGCATTGTAAAGTTTATACGTACGTCTAAACACCGTTGATTACTTTAAGTCCGTTATTAAATCCTAAGACTTCTAAGTAAGGCATTATTTCCGGGCAAGTCGAGCACGCCTCTCTCCTGCTCTGTACATTTTTTCGCCGTGCCGACGAAAGTCTAGTCTAGAACGTCGATGGCGTCCATTTCGACGCCCTACCGTTCGGTCGATTACACCAAAAAAAAAAAAAAAAGGAAAAAAAAGAAACATCCCTCTTCGAATGTCGCGCACTCGTCAAGAGACTCGAGTATCGTAATTCAAAATGTCCGGGCGGTCGTTGTTCTTTCTGATTCGAACGCGTGAAACGCGAATATAGGATAAATACGTTTTTAAACGAACCTGTTCTCGCACGGTTCCAGACTGAACTTTTATCATCCTTGTCACGATTTGAAGAATGATTTGAGAGATTCTTCGTTTTTATCGTCGAATAAGAAGAAAAAAAAAAATGAGAAAAAAGAAGAAAGCATATCGATCTGCGCACGCAACAATTCGTAGCTAGTTACGTTCCTTAGACTGATCTGAAAGTAAAAATAAAAACACCTGAGCGTGTTTCACACGCTTATCCTATCTTTGACGAATTTTAATACACATATACATACACCACTGCCATTCTAACTTGAAAACTGCCAAAATCGAAATTCCTAATTCCAGAAAATTTTAAAGATAATTCTTTTAATCGATCACCAAAGTTTTCGAGGTTTTTTAAGGTTTTGGAAAACGTTTTTTCGACGAATTTTATGATTGTAAAATTAAACGATCCACGATTTTGTTCGTGAACTTCATTGATGCTTAAGTTCCGTGCGCGACACTGCGAAGACGAGGGCATAGGTATACGTATATATAAATTTATATAAATATATATATGTACTTAAAGCGCGTGTAAGCGCATGCATTACGATTACGAGCATACATGAATGTATATATTGAGAAGCACGTCAATCAAACTCGTAGAGTTCGATTAATTTGTTAGATCCTTATCGGGAAGCGGGTATCGTTCATCGTTGCGATAATAAAGTTTTTGTACATGTTTTCTTATGTCACCGACCGACTGACTCAAGTCCGCTCAACGAGGACTCTCTACATTTTCCCATTTTTCTTTTGATATTCGATTCTTTTTGTTCTTCTAGGAATTTCTGGCTCCAAACAAAAAAAAAATTCCTAACATTTGATGCACATTTTCGAAATTATTAATTAATAAATCCTTCGAGAAGTGGATTTTTATTTTCATTCTTTTTTTTTTTGTCAGTCGAATAAATATTGTACATTGTAAATCGTTAAATTACGTTAATAATTATAGATTCATAGAGGAATATAAAAAAAAAAAAAAACTGGCCTAGTTTTGAAACAAGGATGACACGTTTAGATGAAAGATGCAATAAATATTTGATAAATATTTATTAATCTCGAAAGGGGACGTTTGTACGATGTTGAACAAAAGAAAAAAAGCGCCGGAAATTCCATAGAAACACGCGACCCTGCGAATCATTTCCACCGCGTTAATCGTTTGAGATACAAACGAGCCTCACGATGCTATCGTATGGTTTAGTTTTAATAACAGTGTGATGATTACTTAGAACGCCTATTGAATGAATCGATGTTCTTGTGACTTATTATCGAACTTACAATACAAGAATTCAAGAAATAAATAATAAAGCGATAAAAGTTCATCGAATCGATCGCTGTAACAGATGTAAGATTTTACGTCCTTCTTGAAAAATCCAAACTAGTCGTATACAATTGTAAGTATACATAAGTAACTAAAAAAAAAAAAAAAAACAAAAAAAAAAAATAAAGAATAATAAAGAATAAAA